TACGACTACGACTACTACTACTCCTTGCTGCTGCCTACCACCATCAGCACCTGCCTCCTGCTCTCCCACTCACCCGTCAACTGTCACTTCCTGTGTGACTTTGCTGTGGCTGCTACATTCGATTGCTCTTGTGAGGGTTGCAGGGTTGCAGTCTCTTAATTTACACTCCCAAGGTTTACTGCCATTCGCACCCGAAGCTTCACACTAGGCAAGGCCGAATCTAAGCAGGCAGTCTCTGGGCTGCACACTGCATCTGCTGGCGAACCTGCTCAAGAGGCGCTGAACCTTCCTAGCGCATGCAATTAGAATTCACCAAGTACTGGACACCCCTGCTAAGCCACTTAGTGGCCTGGCATCTCGCCGTACAACGACGCCGGGTAAGACGACCTTTGAATGCAACATGGTGCCCAACGCTCGGCAGCACCGTGCCATCTGCCACACAGGTGGCAGCTTTTCCGCTCCTTTCACTATTCCCTATCCCGATCAAGTGTGCAAAAAGAGCCTCCGGGTCAGCAGGCATTGCAGGGGTGTCTGTGCAAAGTGAGTAATTCTCCCTTCTCGCCACAAAGAGACAAGACTTAGGCACAGACGCCGGTGAGATCACTGTCACGGGTTCCGCTACCTCAGTTGCAACTGCTACTACCCAATGTCTAGACAGCCTCTTCCTGCCTCTCGCGTCGTCGGCTCGATCAAATTCACCCTCAGCGGAATGAGCAGTTGTATCTTTGCTCGGCGGCCAGACAAAGCTAAAAACAGCATGTCTTGCTGTTGACTGAGAAGGTGTCTTTAGAGGCAAACTGTGGCAAGAACTCATGTGCTGTGCCACGTGTTAGAGTCGGGAAGCAGCGCGGTGGTGTTGTAAATTGGACGTCGTCCCGTTTCCGAAAAGTTTGGCTCGCCTTTTCTGGTTTGCTAAACACTAACAGATGCTACAAGTTGCAACAAGAGACAAGATTACGATCTCATACGACCCTTGGAAGCTTTTGCCTGGAAACTAGGAAGAGGTGCTCTTTGCAATCCTGCAAGCCTCTGTTGCGGAGCTCTCGTAAATTAATTGCACGCGTACTGGGGGTTCAAAGCAAATTGTGTCGGTTTAAAACGTGGGTCACTGTTCTGTCGTTACAGCTACTGTAGTCCTCTTGAAAGGCGATGACATGTATGTGTGTATGCAATGTGCATCTACCAGTTAGCCAGTTTAGCCTTCGAAACAAAAAGGCCATCGAACAGAACCAAAATGCTTGGTAAGTGATGTCGTTGATTCTTTGCAAGTCGCTTCCCGGAGGCTTTCAGGCCTCCGTTGGGTCGAAAGCACCACCCTATACCACACATGCGCCTATCGTTTAGATATTAGCGACATACATGAGAATTCCCGATAGATCTGCATGTGTGAGGTTGTGCATTGTACATCCTTCCTGGAGGTGGCACGATGCCACCGCAAGTTCAAAATTGAACTGCACAAGCACGTACAGTTTGCTGAGGATGATCGTGTTGTAGCAGCTTCGTCTGGCTTCCCGGTTGGGCATGCATGCCACATCCCAAGCGGCCTCTGCCGAATGCCTTGCACTTCTCGATGGGCGCAGCTGGTGCCACTCACCTGCACCCAGATACAATAGAGTGACATAGATTGAAACAGGCCCAGCCAGCCCAATCTAGCTGAGGACCAATCCAAGCTTTGAAGCTGCTGGAGCTCGTGCTCCAGCTGTCGGGTCACCTGGAGACAAGAGAAGGGACACAGATCACTCGGCATGTTGAAGACCGTGCCTGCAGTCTTGCATCAGTATCGCGACGGACTTCCTTCAAAAGGCCACTTTCTTGTGCTAGCTTTGGTTGCCGTTCCCATGCCTCCTGCAGTTTGCGGTGATGTTCCAACCGAGCTCGAACCTGTCGCTTACAGTTCAAAGATCGTCACGTCAAGGCTTGCGAAACGACTCTTGATGCTCGATTCTTGGCAATCTATTCTACATTTGCTGAGCCATCTCTTTGTTGACTCCTTCGCCTACACTTTGGCCTTCTTGTTGTTGTGGCCGAGCACGTCCACTGCTAGCTGCTAGCCTCAAACCCTCCATGGATCGTGCGCGCTCGCGTGCTCTCAGAGGCATCTTCCTCGCGCCCGTCCACTCGCGGCGCCTCAAGCGTTGGTGTGGTTGGTGTGTTCCTTGGACGCAATGCTCGTCTTCAGCCACGCTTCGATCCATCCGTTCGGGTCACGAACTCAGACTCAACACCACCCCTGAAGTCTGGTTTGCCGTCAGCTCAGCAGTGACTGTGGTGCTTGAACCGGCGAGGCTGTCAAATGACAGGAGCTTCAAGACGGGATCGAAACAGGAGGGTCTAGAGTCTAGAGTCTACGGCTTCAAGTGCTCCATGCTTTTCACAGAGCCGCTTAATGCCGCTAGCCGGCCTGGCCTCGCGCTGCAGGGCCTCCCGGCATTCCTGCCATGTGCCATGAGAAAATCTGTATCGATGAACAAGCTTCTCCGATGGCGCAGATGTCACTCTTCATTTATTGACTTGTGTGCTCCATTCCCTTTCACGTCTGCCCTTCCTTCCCATCTCTTGGCAATGCTGTCAACCAAGAAATTATCAGCTTGGGGACCAACATTTCAAGAGCTTCCACGACACAACGGTGGCCTGTGCTCTGTTTTTGATCAAGGACAATCAATTCACATGCCTGAAAGAGTCGACTCGAAGACAAGGATGTGCCAAGCTCAGGGACTCGAGCTCGCGAAGCGCGTGGCCCCGCTCCAATCCGAATTTACACATACAAGGCTCAAACACCCAAAAATGTCCGAGCGTCCATCCATCTGCACAGATGCTTCGAGGTATTTCCGGCATCTTGGAATGATCTGCTCTACTTTTTCACAGCCACACAGCCCGTGCAAAGGCTACTGGTAACCGTCCAACACAAATGCTGCAACATGGTCCAACATGGTGCATTAAATAACCTCTTAGACATGCTGAAGCAAGACCCGCCTCGCGAAGAGCGTCCACTGATTCCGAAACTCGCTTGCACTCGCATCTCAGAAGGTTCGACAGCCCCTGACCGAAAGGCGGCAGATGCCAAAACAGCCGGAGAAGGCGGTTTTCTGGCCTCGAACTCGGCCCAATGCGCATCAGAATCTTTGTCCTAGTCATGGCGATTGCAGCACTGCGCACACAACAGCCGAATGCGAGGGTCCTCTTTCCGAGCTATCTCTGCCTTCAGCATGGATGCGTCAGATCTGACATCGGCCAGTGCGGAACCTGAGCCAAGCGATCCAAATGCTGCGCACGAGACGCGAGGTGTGGAGGTGCTCAGCACGTCAGCACGACATCAATTTAAAGCTGTCATGGAACAAGCGGAGTAAGCTAAGCAATTGACCCAGCCTCTGCTCCCAGGATTCCTGCAAGGATCAGTAGTTCATGCACAGCATCTGCCGCACTGCGGCACGAGACACCCACGAATATCTCCACTCCCGAGGACAATGATGTCTTTTGCACAGACACATGCTTCAAATTGATGTGAAGCTGAGCTTACAATCCATTTCACCCAAAGGGGCGCCATATTTAAAATCGATGCGCGAATCCTCGGACAACCACTCGATCACGGTCCCAAACTGATGGAACAAAATGCTACATCGCACGACTTTCAAAGAAATGCATCTGGAGTTCTGCGACTGTGTTTTGCGTCAAGTTCATCGGAAACCTAGAGTCACCTTTGGCGATCTCATCCCAAACGCAATACCGCACGTAGGGTATAATAGGTCCCTCTGTTATCTGCTGTGCTTTTTGGGATTTCGTTGCTGCCCCGTCCCTGGAATCCCACATTGATCGGAACAAGTTTCTGAAATTGCACGCGACCTTTGCAACTCTTAACAGGGACAGCATTCGGCCTCCAGTCTACTTAGACGTTGCTCCGTGACCTCTTGCAAATTCTCCAATCGGAGCTGCAACCTTTGACAGAAGTGTGCGCTTCAAGACAAGTAGCAGAAGTCCAGCAGTCTCTGATGCAAGTCGCACTTTCAGGCACGCCGCTCTGCACTGTTGGTGTCTAACCGCTTTCCCAATACCCTGGGACTTCGTTGAAGCCCGAAGCGGTGAAACCTCCGTCCACATACAGTGTCTGACCAGTGACGAAGGACGAGGCATCGCTAGCCAGAAAAGCGATTGGGCGAGCCACCTCTGTTGTCTGCCCCATGCGCCTCATGGGCTTCAGCTTCTTGAAATCACTGACATACGTTGGGTTAGCACTTTGGATAAGTGGGGTCTCGATGACTCCTGGCGCCACAGAGTTGACTCGGATGCCGAAGCGGGCCCACTCGACTGCAAGGTTTCGTGTCATCTGATCCATTGCTGCCTTGGAGGCCGCGTAAGGAAAACCCGACGGGATGTGGCGACAGCCGGCGACGGAAGACACGTTCACCACCGAAGCACTGTTCCGTCTCCGCTGCTTGCTCTCGCCTTCCATGGACTTCCGTAGCAGTGGCAGTGCTGCCTGCGTCAGCCACATGCAGCTCATGAAGTTGGTGTTGAAAACCGTGCTAAAGTCTTCTGCATCGAAGTCCTCCGCCTTTTTGCGAATGTTCGTACCGCAATTGTTGACCAGAATGTCAAGCTCTCGCCAAGGAAGTTGCTCCACCAGACCCTTGATGCCAGCTTGCGTAGACCTCTCGTGGAGAAATTCGAGGTCATGCCTCAACATGTACATAGTATAGTGAAACGGACGAGAAACAGCTGAGGAACAGGTCCGCTACGATGGTATAGCAGCGCTCGCTGTGCGGCATCTTTTGCTGCGCGGAGCGCAGGTCCTCCGCACCCCTCGCGCAGATGGCCACCTCTGCCCCTGAATTGGACAGGGCAAAGAAGCTGAGAAGGCAGACTATGACATCAGTATGACAGGCTCTTCTTCTGTTGGGTCCTGGCCTGGCCTAGTGACAGCAAGAGCTCGGCTGCAGCGAAACCGATGCCTCGGGAGCCGCCCGTGACCAAGGCCTTGGAGCCCTTCAGGTCCATGCCCATTGCTTGCAGCCTCCCACAGATGAGCCGAGATTGTAGTTGATACGAGCTCTCTGCCAAGGTGAGGTGGGGAGGCGGGGAGGCGGGGAGGCGCGTTGTGTTTCGGTGCCATCCAAGATGCTCTGGTCGCTCCGTTTTCGGCGAGCGGCTGCGGGACATGGCGCCGTCAAATCTCTCTCGCGTCTACGAAACTCCAGCCGCAGAACCGAGACGGCTCCTCGGCAGCCTTCCGTGCTCACGCTCAGCAGCTCAGAGGTCACAAGCGAGATGGAAGAGGCTCAAACTTGGGCGTCCAGCATCTGCTTGATTTCGAGGCGGAACTCGGCAAACCTGAAATCTCACGAAATAGGCGGTGATGCCCAGACGCTCTCCACTCAAATCTAAGCTTGGCGGCTGTTCTCCCAGAATCGTCTCGGCAGACTTCCTCGTTACAGACCAGGTTCTTGGAATCGCCTGGTGGCATGTCGTGCCTGATCGTGCCTGCAGGAGGCTTCGGGGATCGTCTGCACCACGCTCTCCACACGGACCTTCCTCGCAGGGAATCGAAGGGAAAGGGGGTGGAGGAAGGGAGAGGAGAATCTTGGAAGCGCTCGCTTTAGGGGCCCTGGCTCCAGCTGTTGGCTCACGAGCCCCCACTGCAAGTTGCGAAGCTGTCGTACCTGCAGCTGTAAGAGCAAGGGAGAGGGCTGGGCAGTTATGCACTCTCGTGAGGTGGCAGTTGTGCTGTGACACACAGGATAGTTGGCGGAGCGCGAATGGGAGCTATGGAAGAAATGGGAAGGTGGTACAAGCTGCTACAGGCAAGGGTTCAAAAAGCGCTGTGGCCAAGTTCCCCAGTGCTGTCTCTTGCTCCCTCGCGAGGCACTCGGCGACCGAAGTCATGCAGTGCTGTTGCACCCAGATGCACCACCTGACTAACGGAGTATCGTTTGCTTCGGGAGAGCATCCCCTGCGCTTTCCGCTCCGGGGCCCCTGCAACGACGGATCCAACCTGCCAAAGTACCGTGGAGGTGGTGACGGAGCACAGTGGGGCCTTCACGACGGGCCTGCAAGGCCTCGGCCAAGGCTTCGGCATCCTCGAGGAAGACACCTCGGAAGCTGAGATGCAGCATGTAGAAAATCCCTCCCGTATCTTCTGTCCGGGCCTTGATCGCTGCTGAAACTGAAGGGAGGCGACACCTTTCCAGGGCCAGGGCTTCTGAGCCTTGCGTTTAGACGCCTTGCCTCGAAATGTTGTGCCACCAGCTGCGTCATGGCCTGGGACACCGCAGACGTCAGCTTCCATCGCTGTGCTGGCGCGCCCTTCTTGGTGCCTTGTGCTGCATTGCAGGACTCTCCATCGCCTCCGTCGGCCTAATCCAAGGGGCTGGATCGCTGGATAGTTGGTGAGCAATGTGAGCACATCTTTCCAGTCCCAGGCAAGGAAAGCTCTTGCCGGCACCCGAGCAACTGAACGATCCTTACCGGGAATGCAGTTTGACAGGAAAGCCCTTCTCGGATCGCACTCGAATGGGAAAGATGATCGTAGCCTTCCGAAAGCACTGTACAGGAAGGCCTGGCACTGCATCTTCTCACACTCGGTCCGCGGCACCATCCTTGCCATCAAGCTCTATGTAGACACTGGCTCCGGCTCAGCAAGCCGCTTCTGGCAGACCTTGTCTCCTCTGTTCCTCGTCGCACAATTTCTGTCATTTTGTCTGCTACACAAGCCAACACGGTCCAAGTTGGTGCGAGTATGATGCATTGACAACTAGGGATGTGAGAGAATGTATGCTAGTTCTGCCACCGGTCTCGCAGGATTCCGTGTTTTCGAACTTTTTTGGAGCGCTTGAGAGCAACGGCGGCAAGAATGGCCTTCCAAAGGTCCAGCTCAGTGAGTGTTGAAGATCGTCTTAAATCTACAGATGTGGAGATCTTCTTGCAGCAGGCCGTACCACCATGTGCTAGCTGCTAGCAGTTTAGTCGCAATAGCTGCGCTGCACCTCGATCGCATGGCGCACAATTGCTGAGGTTCTGCACGTGGCAGATTTGGAGTGGACCTGCAGGTTCAAGAGTCATGATGATTCAAGCCCGTTCCAGACTGCCTGATCTGTCATGTGCGGGGCCCCAGCATTGTATTCACAACTGTCGCTGCGACCTGCCAAGTCATTCAAATTAGGATGCGGGGGATGGGGACGTGTTTTGCCTGCCCTCGCAGGGCCGACGGAAAGCTTCCCCGGCTAACCATATGAGGAGACCTGGCCCGAACCCGTCTTCGTGGCTCAACGCAAGATCTCCAGAAGTCACCTGCCTGTTCGCGGTCATGGCGGGGCAGGACAGCATCCTTGCAAAATAAAGCATCAAGGACCAGAAGAAACTCTCGGCCCTCCCGTGCTGTGTGCAAGGTCCGCGACGCCGCTTCTGCGTGCTGAGGGAAAGCCTACGAGCATTCAGCTTCTTCTTGAAAGCGCGGATGCTGGGCTTCTAGTGGTCATACCGAGTCATACCTACTGAGACCTACGACTTTGTTCTGCAAGGCTTCCCGCGCGGAAGCGCTCTGGCCTGCAAGCACGGAGCAGATGCCCGGGAAACGACTGGCGCCTGCGAGAGCAATTTGCAGATGTTTTTTTTTGCGTTGTGATGTCTCCGAACATGGCTTCCCGAGCCCTTTTTGCCTGGGGAAGTGGGGGTCGCCGCACCTAAGGGTCGCGACAGCACAAGAAGACTTCGACATCAGATTGGCTTTTAGATAAAGTCGATGCTGGAGTCTGTGCTTCCAGCGAGACAGGAGGGTGTTGTAGCTCGTCCTGGTCACAACACTCTCGCTTGAAACGACGCTGCTTCCCCGACGCTGCCTTGGCCGAAGGGATCACGGTGCCCACCAACACTTAGAGTCCGGCGCTCGGCCTTGTGCAAGCATCAGCAAGGCATTCCGATCAGAACGGGGACATTGACAAAGCGTTGGCTCGAAGCAGGTGGGTCAAAAAAGGGGGCGGGTAGGATACTGCGGAAGATTCAGGAGTTGGGTGGAAACAGGCGGGCTTGTAAGCTGAAGGGCCGGAACATGCGAAGCCAAGCCGCAAAGAAAGGCGACGAGCGGCTCAAAGGGCGCAGCGAAGAGGAGTCGCATGGCCAAAGCAGGACGGGAGCCAGAAGTCGAGGAGTCATTCGATTCGTCGAAAGCGGCAATCCGAAGAGATCTCCAGAGGGTTCAGTAGGAGACTAGGACCAGAAACTGGAAGCCAAAGAGCAATGCTGTTTCGACTTCATCGTCGGCAGAAGCGCAGAAATGCTCCTGCTACAAACACGACCGGAAAATGCGCAAAGCCCACCCAAAGCTGTTCCACGACTGTCTGGGAGACAGCGGTACAAGCAGCACGTGGCATATTCTTTTCCGAGCCGGGTACGGTGGCCTGAAGAGGCCTCAGACGGACCCCGCTTTGGGCAGGCATTTCCACGTGACCAACCGAGAACATGGCGTCTGCAAGGCCCAGCGAGAACCATCCTAGAAAGAGGCCGTGCTGCAAGTCTAAGACTTCAAGGCAGGATGCACTGCAGCTCTCAGACCCTGCTACAAGCTGCATCAAACCGGCGCCGCCTTGTGCCATCCAACCGAGGGCGAGAACTGAGATCAGGGGCAGAGCTCAAGAACTGTCAGCAGGTTCTGCCAAACCGCGCCTGCCCCACCACATTTCTGTCATGACAAGAGACTGGTCTATTTCTGCACACTGCACCGGACGAGGTCTGCCAGTCTTTAAGGCCTGCCCATAGCTCTTAAGCTCAGCCCCCGAATGGAGCATCGGCAAGGCACAGGCCAAAACATTGCTCAACTGCACAAGTTGGCCGAAATGCTCCATCAAGCTCGTGATTCGAGCTTACAGAGCCAAGCAGGAATCTTTGTGGAATGTCGACGGGTGCAGCCAGTATTTGGCTCAGCGACCCATGTTCAATTTAATATGTTTCATCTCAGTCCTGAGATTGTCTTCTTTGCATACATGCTGGCCCGGTCTGTGTTGCAGTACCCTGTAGCAACACCGCCGTGCAGCCAGGCAACGTCGCGACAACAGAAGCTCTTGCAGAGTCATCAGGCATATCATCCATCCACTGAATGATCCTTAGATACAGAGTCAACCCGACTGGTCCATGTTTTTGACTTAATTGAGCACATTGATGAATAAACAACACAGGCAAGTATGTCGCTTGCTGTTCTTGAGGTTCCTCTCGGTATCTGGGCCTCCGCGTGAACACGGGGCGAGAAGGACGAAGGCTCGATTTTGCACCACCAGCACTCTGCGGAGAAGGCTGATTACGTTCTTGGATCCTGCTCTTGGCATGTAAAATTCAACGCAGTCGATGCTTCCACGGCTCCAGTCGCTCTCACCAATGTACTTCATCACCTGAGACTTTGCATAATATTCAACAGCACTCAATACTCGTCAGCAACAATTAGCCCCCAAGAACTGTCGATGAACACGTCTCTCCTGTGGGGTTGAGCCCCACTCTTTAATCGTGTTCCGGGATTGCCCGGGTGCCCAGATCTCTATGGCCAAAAGCGACTAACAAGCAAAACACTAGAAAGACCCTGAGAAACAAAGGAAACCGCCACGGAAACCAACGTGCCTGGGCGCAGTACCAGTCCTCAGCACAACAGACAGCACAAGCTAATGCTGAGGCTGGATCCGACGAATTTGGTGGTAACTGCTGGTAGATTAGTTAATTGCCACGACAATTGAACGTGAAGGGGCTGAACCTTGCCATCTTAACGGTAAACGCTACATTTTGAGATTCGGAGACTTCAACTTCAGCAATTATCACGAAAATTGTGAGCTGAAGCGGCCAATCCTGCAGTTTCTACCGGTAACCGCTCCGAAAAATTGTGTGAAAAGCGATTAAGCATGTAAACGTATTAAAAAAATCTATATATATATATATAGATATATGCTACACCCCCCCATTGCCCTACCTTTGTTGG